ACTATTATTATTATTTATTTATTTTTTTTTATTATAAAGAACAAACTATTATTATTATTATGCGCTGGAAAACAATTAAGTTATTCGCGTTCACGGTGATGCACTGCCGTTATTAACCGGTGCACCGATGCGATAATCATCACACGTTTTGTCGTACAAAACGTTTGTTATTACATTGAACTACGCTGTAATTGCCTTTAACAGTACTATATAAATTGCAGTTATGTGCAATAGCCAATGGCCTGTGGAATAGGTACTAGATAAGTTCCGAGCGCATTTAGCCATTGCGAATTGCGATCGTTTCCTTTTCTTCAAAACATTATTATTTATTGTATTACATTTTCGTGTAAAATATTATTGCGATAGTATGCACATAACAATTTATAGCTATTTCATTATTATAATTATATATTTATTTCGCCGGTATTTGATATTTGATTTTTGTACCAATGTGAATAACGATTTGCCGTTGATATGATTAATAGTACAAACGGAAATAATTATAGGAGTAAAGACCGTTTTTATTTCATGTACTTCAAAGGTGGTAATGGTAATTGTTTTATATATGATAATAATAAAATAGTTTAATTATGTATTTATGTGCATTGTGTGTGAAATCAAATGTTATGATGATGTGACTATATTATGTGAACGTATACGCGAGTGTGATACAGCGATACTTAAAAATGTTTACAATACGGAAATGTTACCTTTTTACATATAATATACCTATGTAATATATACACATATATGCAATAAGAATAATTTTTCATTCCCAACCGTATGGCGTATAATAAGTGCATTTTTTTTTCTTTTCAATTTAGGATGTTTAACTTGATATTTATCAGCCATTTTTTACCAAATTTTTTCACCACCACCTAGTTTGAGAGGAATGCTTTTTTTTCTTTTCAATTTATTATTTAATGATATATTTTACGATGGTTAATAAACTGTGTAAACTGAATAGTGTATACAACCTACAATACTTTGTTTTTATGGTTGATCGTGTCCAATGTCCATAGAAATTAATTTTAAAAATATGTTAATGAGCGTTCACCTAAATATATTACAATATACTAATACAAGTAAATTTTCAATAAGAAAAGTAATTTATACGAATCACGAGTAGAAAAGGATTATTTAGACTTTAGACTAGATAGTACCTTAGAGCATACTTATATACTATAAGTTATGGTTGGTATTATAATAGTTATGGCTGAAATGCTAAGCACAAGCACGTTGAACTCATTCAATACACATAATATATGCCAAAACGAATGATAATAAAAGTCCATTCAAAACTAACTAAAACAATTCCTTCATTTTCTCTTGAAGGAATAAACTAAATTTGTATAAATGAAGATAAGGTTATTTCCAAAATGCGTCCTGGTCGCGGGGTTTATTTATAGTTTAATCTTGTACATGCAAACATCATCAAAAAAAACACTGCAATATTCAATATCATGTATATTATTTAGTGTATACCATTAAGTTTGATAAAATAGGAATTCAATTAGTTGCTGAGTTTGATATAGTGACACATACTGTCATACATAAAATACAAAATAACGTCTAAAATAGTAAAATATAGAAGTTGAACGAATTTTTCTGGTTGCCTTAGGCAGAATTATATTGTGATCAAAACTTAACATTTTTTGATACCTTCTTAATGTGTGATTCTTGGTGTATAAGTTAAGTCCTACACTATAGAAGTGTAGAAAATACCCTTAAATTCCAAGTAAAAAAAATCAACTATAAAATAATTATTAATGAATATAGCACTTTTTTTTTTTACTGACGCAAACAAGTGATTGTGAAGAATTATAAGATAATTGAAAATCTAATAAAAACAATAATGATTCATTCGTAGTTCAGTTCACTGTTTTGTTTACGATATAAATACAGTAATGATTAACCGTTTGATAATGCATATACCGCCATACCGGTAATCAACACACAGCAACTTTTAGACGAATTTGAAAATATTGTTGTATTTTTATTGTTGAATTAAAGTTTAGTACCTAGTATTACAAGGACATCTGGACGTTTATTGATTTGAAAAAATAATAAAAGTTAAATAATTAAAAAAATTACTACCTATCTCACTAGGTATCTAGGTAGGTATATATCATTATATTATCAAAGTGACATAATATAATAATTAATCAATTATCAGTAATCACTAATAAGAATGATCAATGAATGTATAAATATTATTTAATTATGTAGAAACATAATATTTTATATGAAATACATTTATATTGAAATGTGTGAATTATTTAATATTTTGTATTTTCATGTTTTAATTAACATATTTTTATTTTGATATGAGTGTAAAATGTAAATATCTACTAATATCGCTCTAACATCGTAATATTACAGATAGATAAGCTGAATAAAAATACAAAATACTTTATACTAGTACTACTTATTAGTTTTAAACTTATAACTAAGTTCTTAGTTTTACCTTGCTCCTTGACCGTTAATTAGATTAAATATATATATATAATATATATATTATATTATTATACTTATAATATATCTGTTAGTTGAAGAAAACGAGTATAAGAAGTCAAGAATGTTCTACCAATTTTTATATTATCTAAGTTAATCTGGGTTATATAATCTATGTATAATATTATAACACAAAAAAGTATTAATTAAAATAAAATAATTATCATAGGCGCGTAGCGAGATGAATTTGTAAAGTCCCCCCCCCCCGGCTTAATTTAAAATGTTTCGACTATCTTTCCAAATGTATTCTAAAAATGGTAAGTAAAAATGAACGGAGGAGACTAAACAAAATTCCTGAGCGGCTATAGCCACATTAGACCTCTCCATTCTACGCCTATGTTAGTATGTGTACGATTATAATACAATTTTTAACGAAATAATCTATTCAATATGAACTTAAACTAGTAATTACCAATTAGTTAGGTATTAATATTATACAACATACAATAATGTAATATATTATCTAACTATGTAAAACATGAGAAATCTAGTTGATAAGTTAAGATAGTTTCCGATAACTAAACAATTTCAAACTTGATTTATAAATAGATACCTATTTTAATATCATGTTTACATATAAAATTCATATAAACTGTTATGATATTTAATTAAAATAATGAACTGTTATAACTTATAATTGAATATCAGTTGACATAATTCTGCAGAAAACTTTAAAAAAATATCAATAATTACATATATACACTACAAGTCATTAGTGAATAATAATTTTAAAGTACTTTGTAGGTGTATACGTATTAAAAGAATATAACAATTTACCAATTATCTTGTTATATTTTAATTTTGTATTCAACGCAAAGGAAATCAATACCCAATGGCCAATACCCATATTATGTATAGTTTAAAACTGTTAATTTAATTTGATTTATCAAGTTGCATGTTTTATCATCGAGAATTAAATATAAATATAAAATAACTATAATTAAATATATGTTAATAGTTCCACTGTCAATTCTTAAGTGGATTATTTTTATTTAAAATTAGAATGAAATAAAACGCTAAAAAAGCAATTAATCTGTCAGGTCAATGTTTAAAACTGTATTATTAAACTGCATTATCAATATGACCATTATTAACATTTTTATAATTACATTACCTCTCGTGTTGATATTATTTTATATTTATCGCTTATACATTAATACATTATGTTATAATTATTCGGCAATAGACAATATTACAATATAAACTATAATGTTATAAATTATTATATTAATTTGAGAAGTCATTAAGTACAAAAAAATCTAACATATAAATATTTAAAAAAAACGAAAAATATACATAACAATTTATTCAAATAGTACTTAACATGTAAATTGTAAGTAGTAAGTGAACAAAATATAAATAAATGAAACAATTGGTTTTTGCTGCTAAATCCTAAATTGTTACTAGGAATTAGGATCAATGAAAAATCAAAAGAACTTTATTTTGTAGCTATCAAAATGTTTAACTTTTCAACAATTTTCACGTTAAAATATTATTCAGTGGAAACAATATCAATTATTATGTAATATGTAACTAGGGATCTTAATATTATAATGATTAGTTTTGCATCGAAACACTCCAATGGACAATATTATGGATTTAGATTTAATACATTTTTAAACAACTTTATATTCATGTACAATAAAAATAATATTTTATTATTCATATTATAAATGTTAATAGAATAATAATTAATTATTCTTAAGTTTGATGTTTTTTTTAAAATTAATTGGTGTTCAAAATTTGCTCAACTAATTTTAAAATAATTACTACTTTATAATTTATTTCTTAACCTACGTCATTGTTTGTGAATTATAATTAATACATTAATTGTTGTATGTATTATTAGATAATATATAACATTGTTTTTATAATAATGAATAATGATATATCGATATAGTTTTGTAAATTGAAAACTTAAAAATAAGATTAAAGATTAAATATTTACTTATCATAAACCTAATCATAAAAACCAAATTATTTTATTATTAGAATCTTATCTTTTATCGTATATTTGTATAACTATATAATTTTATACATATCATCTTTATATTATATTAATGTTTAATATCTACGTATAACACTATGTACGATGTACCTACAGTTAATATTTAGTTGTTGATGTTGAACATACACATATTATTACTATTAGTTATTACAAAGGTAAAATGATGGGCAAATGATGATTAATATAAAATAGGTAATTAAAATACATTAAACAAAAATTATAATATAATAGTCTAATACATTGATATATAAAGCTTTATCAGCACATTATGTATTTGTATAATTGGATGTAAAATAGATTATTAATATCATAGTATTAAGCATTACATTCAGCAATTTTAAAATACCTAATTTTTAATTTTTATTTGAATTAAACAGCAGTGACGTATAGTCTGCCTGCAAGATATCTAGACTTTCCCGTGTGGGTCGCAAGTAGCAGGTTGTTCTTACAAATTATAATCATAGGCATTCCTGTTTAGGCTTATCTGCAGCTTATGGTTTAAGGCAGTAACGTCCTGAACCCGATCCTGCATCCCATCCATCGAACGTTGGCTGGGAAGAACGGTCCCGCTAGTGACCCTGACGTTCCGCATGTCACAGGCACTAACGGGACACGGCTGTTTCCAGTCATATCTCTACAGGAGAGCCAGGGCCACCAGTCCGATGTGTCTACAGTGCAGGGGCGGCGAGGACACGGTGGAGCATACTGCTTACTCTGTTTGAGGGCTACTACTGGAACGCCCTCCGTGATCCTCTGTCCATCCACTTGGGGCGCAGACCGTGTACAGCCGACATCCAGGACATAATTTGCGGGCCGCCATTTGACCAGCTTCCAGCATGCAGACCCGGATGAAAAGTTGGATATATTAAGGTACGCGGAGGAGTCATTTCGGCTGTTCTATGGAATGGTCGAACGCATCTTCTCACTTAAAGAAGAGGAGGAGCGAGCCCGCCAGGCTGCGGAGGTGTGGCGGTGAGATCCCGACGCATAATCCGGGCACTAACCTAGTCGATAATTATTTTACAGTAGCCGAAGGCACCTAGGGTTACACCCAGTATTGTACACATAACTTTTAAAATGTTGTTGTAAAAATTGTTAATGTAAAAAGGTTGTTGTAATATTAGTGAGTGGGGGATTGTCCCACCACTAATAATTGTCGATGTTATTGTTATCAATAAACGATGGGAGTCAGAGGAGAAGTAATGCTAACGCGGTTCCATCTCTGGCTCTCGATACAAAAGGAAAAAAAAATGGTTTAAGGCAGTAGAGAAAAACATATTGAATAATATTGATGTTGAAGACACTATTGACGTCGTTAAAAATGTATGTGGTCTGTTAGAATAAAAAAAAACTGTCTACAACTATATATATTTTTCATTAAATTTTTAATATGTGCCAAAGTACAAACTAAGTGTTGGGTAATTTGTTTAGTAATTACTAATTTAAGGTTTTAAGGACAACACGTTCTATTAAGCGTAATTATTATTACTTATAAAAGGCTAGGCCGATAGATACTACTGACTTCTGTACTAGTCACTACTCATAATGTAATTGTAATCGAAGAGCACTTTTACTGTCAATATACGTATTGTAGCATTCGCATACGTGTTGGCTGTTGATATTTAAAAAATATATAAAGAATATATTATTATTAGTATTGTAATACTTTATAGTCGTATGGGTACGAGGTACCTATTCCGTATGTACCATAAACATAAACATTTTTAATATCAAAAACATGCAATCAAACATCAACAATGCAATTAAATACTTGAATCAGTTGAATCTACATTGATAAAAACAAGGCCTGAAGGTCATCTATAAATATCTCACTTTCAATAATTTATATTATTTTCTTTAAATAAAGTAAACATATTAATAAATTATTATATATTTACATTAAGCTAGTAAGATAATGAGGTCAATAACTGTGACAGATATATCAAATATAATCAATTAATATATTCTTATAAATTATAATTTAATCAATTCAAGTATATAAAATTTCTTATTTCTTAAAAATCCTCTATTTGATATTCTATAAATATAAAATAGAATGTATAGAATTATTATAATCAATTCTGGGTATACTCTTCATCAATAGATGGATAAAGATGCAATTCAGAAACTTCCATATCAAGTTAAACAATTTGAACGGATCCCGTCATTATAACCAAGAGATAAAACAGTCAACAGACGTCTTTGGCCTCGTCTCCGTCAGGACATTCTCTTAAAGTTCATGAAGATTCGTCGACAAAAATCAATAAGAAATAAAAATACACTTAAACTATAACTATAATAAACTCAATTGTATCACTATCAATCATCCATGTCTCTAGTAAAATTTAATTCATTGTAAAAAAATAAATACTTGTAATAACACTATGTGTGCTGAAACATTTTCTAACTCTATAAAAAAAAATTAATAATAGATTTTTCTGAAATTTAATTTTCATATAGTAATTTTGAAGTTTTGAATGTGTATTATAGTATAGTAGGTACCATACTAATTTAAAAATAATAAAATCTAAATGACTTGTTCAAAAGTTTGATTTATTACTATAGCCTATAGGTATAAGTTATGATTAAAAAATAATAATTACACATTCGATTATTCTGAGGGTTGACTATTGAGTGCTAAAAACATTTTAATTCCTTAAGTTTTAATGTTTTTCCAATGAAAATAATCAATATTTCACATTTACTTCGGTTGGTAGGTAATACCTATAACTAAAGGAAATTATCGACAAAATTTGGCAAAATTTTTTGAATGCCATAATTTTAAAATAAGAATAGACTTGATGTTTTCAGCAAATATTTGTGCTATCATTAACATTTTCTAGATCTGATATAATTTTCGAAAAATCTAAAATACCTATAAGTAAGTGGCTTTAACCTATTAACACGAAAAACAACTATTTTATGTATTACGCTGTAATTTAAAAAATATGAAGTGTAGGGACTTAAAACTTTTTACCATTAAGTGTATCATTATTTTTTAATTACAATATACTATTTTTTAAATATAGATTCAAGTTTCAATCTGCTCAGACAGTTCTGGCTATAATTTTGTTTTAACTTGACGTCTTGACCTCATATAAGTTTATTTATTCAATAAATAATAATCATAATAATTTTAAATTTTTTACAAAGTGATCATCATAAAAATATATTCTTCAAAACTAAAATATATATTTACTTCGCAGCAATAAACGTAATAATATGCATAGGTAGGTATATTATATTATTATTATGCACTATATAAGCTGCATTTCTGACTGTCCTTATACTATGTAGTTTACACATTATGATTTATTTTTTAATGGTTACATAGTATACATTTTTTGATTTAATGACCAAATACATGTCTAAATAAACAATATGATTTTAAGCTCGATGATCAAATATATATTGTTAGCGTAAAAAGTATTTGTAGAAAAGTCACTTAAATTTGTATAGTATCTATGGTTTTTTTTCTTTTAGCAAAATCCAATTAAATAGAGCAATATGGATATTATTTTTATTGTAGGTACATCAAAACCATAATATTATGTAAGTGCCTACGGTCTATAAACTGTTGTTTTCAGTTAAAATGAATAAAATTCCAATAACAATAAAAAATATATATATGGACCTTAAGTCAATTACCGTGTTAGATGTTTTTATTTTAACCAAGTAAAAGACAACAATTATTAAGAATTAATTTACAAGCATTTCAAATGGTAAACTTAAGACTTGTGTATTATTATACATATCTTACTATCTTATGTTCATGTTTTAGTTTTGTCAAGTCATAGGTAGTGTAACACATTACAAGACGTGTTTATCTAAAAAAAAAAAAATATCTACCAAGTTCCACTATATATATCCACAATAAGTTTAAAATTAATATAACTCCCAATAATTGTTGGAAAATAGTACTCTAATATTATGTTACATATTAAGTAATAAATAAAAATATGAATTGATAATACATATGTATAATACTTAAATACTTACTTAGGTTTTCGTTTTGCACTTTTGCAACAAATTTAATAATTTCTTCTGTTGTATTCTAATTTCTAGATAACGTGCAACATTTATATTTGGACTCTTCCCAACGTCGCATTAAAAAAAAAAATAGATTCGAGCAGGAGCAAATTTGTGTTTTACTTAACACTTGATGTAATTGGATGTAAAAACAAATATTTTTCACAGGTTATTATTTTTTACATAGGCGCCAAAGCTCAAAAGTAGGTACTTGTGTTGGATTATTAAGCTATTTTATTTTATAACATTTCAGTTACAAATATCGGCATCAGTGCCAAAACGTCCCACTGAAAAATCCCTATGAGGTATATATTAAACATAGTTTCTCGTTGGTATTTCGTATAGATTTGTTGTCACATCTGTCGATGGTTGATCTTGCCAGAAAAACTCGCGTCTAAAAAATAGATTTTTTTTTACTACTTCGACATAATTTATAGGTACCTACGTATCACATTAATATGTATTATAATAATGAGGCGGCTCTGACACGGTTGACCTACATAACATCATAAACGGTTATCATCGGTTTATCGGTAGTGGTTTAAAAATAGAAATACATTTTTCAATAATAACAATCAGTGTAATAATAGCTTGTTATCTACAAGAGTATAGAGTAAATTATTGTGGTTTATTCTGTGGTTATACGCTCGCTAATAATTTTATTAAATATATTAATGTACAACTAGGATGGAAAATGTTATATTTATGTAATACGCATAAAAATACAGCACATTTTATAGCTGCTGACCGTCATTAAAAACAAATATTTGTGTGGAAATGAGGACACCTTAACAACGTTATTATAGTATTATAATACCAACAAAAATGATCATACTGCTAACGGTAAATGTTAGTCGTATAACAACCCCAAGTCCAAAATATCCTGGAAATAAAATATTCATGGAGTATTAGATACGTCTTATAGAACATTTAGTACCTATGTATTACGAATTTTTTTTTTTTATTGATATTAAAGGCTTCAATAGTTAGGTCATTAGCCTGTGGTTGTGGTTACATTATCATTAATAAGTGAGTATACAAATTAATAACTAAGTTCTAAATTAAGGTTACGTTACAGTTGTGGTACCTATATGTGGATTGTATTACGAATTCTTACGAGTCGTCGGTTAAAATAAGATTAAACGAGCATTAAAGCAATCTTGAATCTGTTAACACTGAAAAAAAAGAATAAAACATAATAAATAATAATATTGACGAAAATATTGGATTAAATCGCTAGGGTATCAGCTATGGTATACATAATATTTTTTTTTTTTTTTTATTGGTTAAGCATCAACTACCTACAATCTACATAGGTTATTAATAAGCTTTAACAAAAGTATTATATTTTTACGTTATTATATGTTATTGTATAATTCAATTTTTTTTAGATATAAAATTATGTTTGTAAGTTAGAAAATGGACCAATTACTTCGTACAGATTATCAGGGATGTTGAAGTATTTCCTAGCTTCATTGAAGTTTGGGCAGTGGACGATGATGTGTTTGATGGAGTAGTTTTCATTGCATGTTGGGCATAGGGGTCGATCTGTCTTTACCATATTATTATTTTTTTTTTCATTAAACTAACAACATCAACAAAAGAGGTTATTAGTTATTTGATTATTTGGAATATTATTATTGTATAGTAATATAATTTGGCCACTTCTTAATAATAAACAAATATGATGCAAGTTCATGCAACAAATCTCATTAGTGAACGGGACGCATAGAAATCGACATCGTCATAAAGATGACGCACACAAATTTGGCCGTTCAAAACAATTTAAATTAATTTGAGTATTGAAAACTACACAGGCTCATTAGTCATCGTTGCTATGTTTTAATTAATGAAATAATTTTACATAACTAATATACGTTTTGAAGAATATCATTAAGAGAAACTCATGAACATCTGTATTCTATATATTAACATAGTCGGATCGTAGCTATAGCCAAATA